GGGCGAATCAATATGTCATTTCTAGTTTCCCTTTTACAACTTTTAGACGTCCATCTCTGCTTGTACAAAGTTCTTCCACACGAGCGATTGGCCAGTTCACTCTTTTAAGGTTCTCACAATCTATTAGCACGATGTCTCCAACTTTTAATTCACAGTCCTTTTGTAAATGCTTTTGTACTAGCTGTCCAAGATACTCCTTGCGAAAACGGCTTCGAAATATTTTCGAAGCTCCTGACAGAACGCTGACGAGTTTATTTAAATCTAAGGTATCCAAATCTGCTGGACCTGAAACCTTAATTACCTGTAAGAACATGGAAGGCATTAACGGTAGAAGATCTGCAGAATCGTTTGACACAAAAGTAAGTGGTCGACAGTTTATTACGGCTTCCACATCACCGATGATGGTGAGTAACTCTTCATAATTGACTGCAGCTTGTCCTAAGACTCTGACAATCAAATTCTTGGTTGTGCGGATTAGACGCTCCCATTATCCACCCCAGCAAACAGCAGTGGGCGGAATGAACTTCCAAGTTATGAGATGCAAAGATTCCTGAAGAATTTTTAGGCATTCCCCGGGTCGAGAACTCAATCTCATTCCGGGTCCACTCCCCCTTCGGGCACATCATGGTGGTTCAACCTCCACTATTACCCTCCAGGAGAGCAGCGCACCACCTGGGACGCACCCGGGGTGGCATCGATCGTCTATTGCACCTACCAGTCGCTTGGGCGAGCCCGTCGCAGCGGGACATTACCCAGCGACCCCGGGGGAAACCCCCGGGTTACTAGAACCACGCCGCGCTAGGACGTGCCAGACTCCGGGGCCGGCCAATAAGTGACCTTTCCCAGAGCCTTCAGAACCACCAAGTTCATAAATTTTATACCCCCGTGGCCGAGACTGCCTAGGTACAGATCCTAACCAGTAGCTTCGCAGAGTTCTCTACGTCGACCCCCGGGGGGGGCAAAGATTCCTGAGCAATTACTTTTGCCCAGTCGACTTTTTTTTTTCAGCAATGCAGATGTACCGACGAAATTTGTGCCGTTGTCTGAGTAAACTATAGATGGCCGACCTCTTCTGGCTTTGAACCGACGAAACGCTTGAATGAAGCATTCTGTACTTACGGATGTCACTAACTTCAAATGTACACATCGATACACAGCACATGTAAACAGTACTACCTAGGCTTTGTTTTTATTTTTTAGAATAAGAGGGCCACATAAATCTATGCCGGTAATTTCAAATGCGAAAGCATCTCGAACTCTGTTAATTAAATGTTTGCAGTAGCTGAAGGCTTAGCTGAAAATCGTTTACAACGGACGTACTGTTTCACCGCCGATCTAATTCGGCGTGTTGCACCAATGATCCAGAATTCTTCTCTAATAACAGTTAATGCTTGTACGCCGGCATGAGAATGCTTTAAATAGTAATCTCTAATTAAACAGTCAACAATATAATGCTTAGAAGGTAATAAATCGGGTACTCGAATGCATAAGAATCATCTCGTTCGGTGATTTTCGTTTTTACTCTTCTTAAGCTACTCTGATCTCGTACGGTCAAAAGACCATTGATGGAGTCTTTAGTCTCTGAAAAACTCCCCCCCCTCCCGAACCAGTATGATTTTAGACTCCTGTAACTCGGAAGCACACAGGAAAGGCTCTTTATTTACTATTTTCTTTTGACAATTTTTGATAAATCTCTTTATCCAACCTAAAGCTCTTAATATTTTTGAAAATTTAGAAAACTTCTCACACCGCTTAACTTTATCCGCTTTTGTAGTTATAGTAAGATTTACATTTAAATTTATCCCTTTCCTGAGCTCTGTAAAAACTAAAGTTTCATTTGGCTTAAACTCTCATTTTGGCCAGCTAACTGTCAATAAATAGCACCACTTATACTCTCCTATCCAAGTCTCCATTACCAACTCTCCACAGCTACGCACTCTGTCTCTGCTTCGCGAAGTTAATATCTGCGCGACTCGTCTCTGTACTCAATTTCGAACATTTGTCTACAACATCGATTGGACTTTCACAAACTTTAACACCATTATCATTCTCAATAACCTTAAAAAAGTGGAATAATTTTTGCTCTACCGGGATAGGGTTTTCACCCGGTTGCCTGCAACACTTGAACGCTTGGTTCACGAGACTTTAACAGAAGGTGTTATGTTCACCTCTTTGTGGAACAGGCTGGAAATCAAAACTCTACACAATAAATATCATAAATATTTTACTCTTGCTCAACGTACAAACTTGAAACACAATTCACTTATATCTTTAGAACACAATTACAATAATAATAATCGCGTGTTGCCACATCTCTGAAACACAAAACTTCATTCATTTTTTAGCTTTATACGAATATCGGAAGCGCGCTCTTTCGGCGAGCAATGGATGGCGTAACAGAAGGCAAGGTCTGGGTTAAAGGTAATGCAGCTCCTGTGGCCGCACCGAGGGGGGCAATGTGTTTAGCATTGAGGGAAAAAATACTAATTGCCATATTTTTAGAATTTAACGAAATAATGGGCGACAGAATTAGCGAAAGGCAAAATTTTTTAGGTTTCGGCGAGTCACTAGGTAGCTGAATTTAGGAACCTTAGAGATTTCAGCGGACAGCAAAATGTCTTGCTGCAACACTGACTAAAACTGGCGACTTATTCCATCAGCTACTAATGCAATAATTAGCTACCGTATTTGACGGCATATAAGACACACTGGCATATAAGACGCAGCCTTATTTAGAAAGCCACACACAAGGAAAAAAAGTTTCAATAGTCCGTGCGACAGCGCGGTACCACAATAATTTAAAATGTGGTTCCTTCCTCTTTAATCCATATTTTCTATTTGACCGAGCTCAAAAGAAGTTTTCTTGCGTGCATTTATAACAAACCTATGAAATGCTAGTATTTTTTCTTCATAATTTGCTGGCATTTTCTGTGCAGTAGTTGTTTTTGTGCGCATTGATAAGCCTTGCCTTTTCCTGAACCTGTAGTATCAGCCCTCAGACCCTGAAAAGTTCTGATTCCCATGTTTTTCTGCAAATCCTTTGGCCTCATTCATTATCATTTTGTTTGGAACACTTATCCCAGATTTCCTCTTATCTATCACCCACACTTTTACGGCATTTTCAAGTTCAGGCCAAGATGGAGCTTGGCATCGAAGGTTATATTTTTGTTGTTTAGCAGTCTTCAGTTGATCTTCCTGCAGTCGCTAAGTACGTATCATTTTTACGGTAGGTGGTGGACCGAAATACCTTGCTGCTGCACTGTTTCCATGCACTTTGGCGTAGTTTAACACTTCTAGTTTATACTGAATTGTATAGCTTAATCTCTTGTTTCCTGTAGTCATATTTTCCAGGGTTTTTTTTTAAACTGTAGTCATATTTTCCATTTTTTTTAATTTCCGTATTTTTTTTAAACAAATAGTTTTAAGAACCAATACCGACACGTTTATACAGAGTAGCACCGATACCGACACGTGTGTCAGCTGAGTCAAAGAAAGTCTATGTAAGGAAAGAAAGGCTCCATAGACGTAATGTGACTGTCGAACCTGTTCGAACTTCGACATCAGCTTCGAGCTTTGGCGCTTTTTGGCGACAGATATTTCACGTATGCACAAAATAATTATGGCAGATGTAGAAAATGTTATGTCCGTCTAGACCTTTATCCGGGCTAAAAATTACATTCAGTATTGAAAGTTAACCTGTGTCCTTCACGTATAAGCCGCAGGTAACTTTTTTGAGACCAAATTTAGGAGAAAAAGTGCGTCTTATATGCCATCAAATACGGTAATGGAAAAGTTTCATTCAAAAACATTTAAATTTCATTTGCATGATAAAATTTAGTAATTATTTAGAGATAAAAACAACACTGACTCCCTTCTTAAGCGACAGGTAAGAATGCAAAAACATCTTAATGCTACTTATTGGGAAAGATTACTAATTTCATTCCGTTTGTAGAAGAATAGCTCGTAGGTTTATAGTTTATTCAGAAAAAGTACCTTTCTAACCTAAATGAGAGACACGATAAACATTAAACATCACTTCTAAGCAAATTCTAACTTTTAAAAGTGCTATTCCAGAGAATTCCCTGTGTTCACTCTTGATACGAATCATTAAAATTTAATGATAAATTATAAATTACATTAATACACAATTTGAGATTAGTCGTTTTTTTAAGAATTAATTTAAATTTTAGACATAAGAATTATAATGCTGCTCTCATTTCGTAATCCCTATTTAAAAGTCTAGATCTTTTTTTTTTTTTTTTCTTCGTTTTTATTTTTGTCAAAGCCGAAAATCAAATTTGCGCAAATAAAATGAAGGAAACTGTAATAACACACTTAAAGCGTTTACTGATATTTTCGGATATTCGTATCTAAGACTAATTCAGAACGAATTAATTCATTCTTCTGAATGTTTTGGAAACAAATCTTAGTTATCACAGACCGAAATTGATTCTTCATCTTCTTTCAAAGTTAATTCATATATCGATGTGTCGTCTGTTCTACACGGATTTTAAATTCAATACAATTTAAATTTGGAAAGTAATGAATACTAAGTTTTTGCTTTTTATGAATTATTTTATAAAAGTCTTTTGGATCTGATTCAAACCTTACTAAACTGCATCCTTGTGCTTTATTCTTCCGTAAAGTACTTTTTTTTTTAAATTCGATAAATGTATCGTTTGAGGTAAAATATTTTCTTTTGCTCCTTGCGTACTCACATTTATGTTATTAAAAAAAACTGTTAGATAGGTAAGCCAGTTTAGCACTCTATACTTTGCATTTAATAAATCAACGAAATATTCCTGTCTCATTTGTTGTTTTGTCCAAATTACGTGGAACAATAGTTGCCAGAGCCTACTCCGAAGAGAGGTTGGACTTCTATTTTCCACCCATCCACACGAGAGGACTTTCGGCTCACCGCAAGTTTAGAATGCTGCCATGCCACACCGTTTGCAAGCATTGTTTCAAATTTCCAGAATCATATCAAATTAAAATCTACATTTATACCACCTTCAAGGCGTTTTTATTCTATGGTGCTTATTTATCAAATCTCCAAGAATAGTTTACTTTTCTCATATTTTGTAAAATTTAATAAAACATTTTACTGTTTAAAACATATTTAAATACCAAAAATTATACAATCTCTAAATTAACAATATCATAATAAAAATTATACAATATCAGGTCTCCAAGATGAATGGCGTATTTCCGGATGTATGTAAATAATATGTATTAAATTCATTAGATTATTCGAAAAGAATATGTGTATTCGTTTTATGGCTTTCTTTGTTGAAACTAATATCAGTTTTATTGAGTATCTCTACATACGAAACATTTTATTCCTTTAAAGCTAGTGAATGAAGAAGACATTCAGTTGCAGATCTTCTTTCAAAAAGATGAGCTGTCTTTGAGAATCATTTACGAGACGAGTTCAGCTATTGACTTCTAGGATGGTGATTGGGCAGAAATGAATTTATCCCATGGTCCACAAGAAGTCCTAGTTTTATTTCATTACATTTTTTCGTCTAGGGGTTTGTTTAAAACGTGGTTTTCAGTGACCGAACTGATTCAAACAAGGATTTGCAAGCGTTTTACCGGACATTCTTGCCAAGGTCTAGAATTGAAATTAATGTGTATTTGCTTGTCGTTACTGATGCACTTACTGACACTCATTAATTTTGCTAATAATTTTCTATGAATGATTAAATTTAATAAATGCCCTTACAACCTATTTAACGTAAAACATATTTCACATAGATCTTATGAGATCCTTTTCATTCATTCTCGGATAATTTTCACTTAAACCGTTGACTTAATATTTTTTTTTAATTGTTGGTTCATCATAATTTATGAACATGAAATTTCAGCTTGACCCAAAATACATGACTCATACAGGCCCACATATTTTCGACAGTAAGTTTGTTTCAAGAAGCAGTAAATAATAATTGTTTCAAAATAATAGTTAAAAAATAATAATTAACAGAAGACCTAGCTTACGGATGAACACAAGAGCCGTTCTTAATTATATAGCCTGGAAGAATACATTTCAAAGACCTGCACTTCTTAAAAAAAGTGTCATATAACTGTCCTTCTTGACATTTTCGACTTGACCCATTTTCTTTAGGTTCTTTTTCATTAATATCTAGCAAAAAAATAAAAGATCTCCTTGACCCTAGCCTGCGGTTATCAGATTCTCTAATGCAAACATCCATATCTTGGTCTACGCTTACATTATTGCACAACGCACAGTGAATGTTCCGATATTTTCTAAGCCGTCCATTAACTCTTAATGTAATTGGTGAGTAATACAAATGGCACTTTTGCGCGTACATGTGATTTTTCTGCAGAGAATTACATTGCGATATCAAGTCGGGGTAACACTTTTTGACAATATTTTGTAAAACTGAGGGAATATGAAATTTTAATTCAATTTTTTGGAAAGTTTTGTCTTTTGTGCATGGATTTATCTCCAAAATACCCCAGGAGTTTTCAGTAGCGTCGAATATGAGGTTATTTAAGAATTCGTTTGCATCGAAATTCGAAATGTTTACATTTTGTTGACAATCTTCAATCCAGTTTATTCTACCATCTTTGTGAAGAACTATGTTCCATATTATTATGTTTTCACTGTCATAATTGCACAGAGCGCAAAAATAATTTTTGTACACAGTGCCGGTTGAAGTACTTGTCACAGGAACAATGGATAGTGGATCCCTGTAAACAGTTTCCAAATTTTCACATTTATGGTGTATTACATCCCTGTGGCGCCATCTGTTGGAGCAATTTGCTACCAACAACACTGAGAATCTGGAAGTGCTAATTCTCTGGCAGCGCTCACGAATATTGAAAGAAATAGTTTGTTTTTGGAATAAATATGGGGAATCGATGCAACATGTTCCATAGCGAACACAATGTTGGCCACACTCACAGGTATTTGTTCCCCACAGATTGTCCTCCTCCTCCGTACGAAACTCAGAACAAGTATCATGAGGATAACAAGTTCCTCTCAGGATCTTTAATTCCAAATATAGAGAATTTGTGGAATGGGCTTCAGCTATGCAGAGCAGTACAGGCAGAAAACAGGATATTATTCTTGCACAAAACATCCTCTTCAATGGTATAGCAACCTATAAATAATAAATATAAATATCATAATAAAGCAACGCTTTCACGACATTTTTAGAGCGCATAAATTATGCCATTAAAACACACGGCAGTTTCGCTAAATTAAATAAAACACGTTCTGTGTTTTGAATATTATTAAGAGCTGGGCTTATGAAGTAAATATAATATGAAAATTAATATCATTATCAATACATAAATTAATGTTAAGTTTACGTTGAAGCTGTGGGAACTCATCTCATACACTCCGAAATTGAAATATGAATTTTGGAGCAATCCATACAGATGTAGTTTTAGCACTGCAATATATTCGATCATACCGAAATCCTAAAATCATGAGTTTTTTAGTATTAATATCATCTAGAGAATATATAGGCTTCACTCGAATTTATTTATTAATCCAAAAGGGCTATTAATCTCTAAACACGATTTTGCGTTGCTTCCCTTTTCATTCGATTCATTCGAGTCTGTTATCTTTCGGAAAAAGTTAGCTATTATTCCTTCATATTTAATCTTTCGGAAAAAGTTAGATATTATTCCTTCATATTTAATCTATCTGTTATTAATTATCAAACTAAATTATTTTAAAAGCAATAAATGCAGTTATTAAAATTATTATTATTAATAATAATATTTTGCTTTTTTAATATGATTGTTTTAAATAAAATGCATTTAATTCTTGATATATCCAATTAAAACATTAAATATTTTTTTAAATTACATTACATATTTTGCACTTTTAGATATACAAAAGACACATAAAGTGCATATTCATCTCAAATACTATAAAATGTTTCGCTATTCTTCTCAGCGCGCTTTATCTATAATCTCTACTGATAAAACGCATTAAACTTTGAAACAGCCCTTTTAAGCGATCGTTAAAATCTGAATTCTTTCAAGTTTTTATTTATTTATTAATTTAACTTCGAATTTTCCTGATTAAAATAGGGAGGATTTTTAAACTAACTAATCTCTATTGGTTTCTGTATTTATCGCCTAGTTGCCGAGTGGTTAAGATCAGTGACATTTGGTAATTCCCTTCGAAATGGTTGAATGGGCTGGCTACATGGAAACTCTACGGCAGTGGTTCTCACCCTTCTTCCTCTCTCTCACCACTCCTCCTTTGCAAAAATCGAAAAATATGCATACATTTATTTAAATTTAGCTTATTTTTAATGTCATTTATAAACGAACTAATAAAAATATAGAAAATTTTATTCATGCTAAAACAAACTTGGATTTTGGATTTGGATTATTCAATTATGGCAAAGCACACGAGGGCTATCTGCCTAAGGGGAGGGATGCCTTCGTGGAGGACTTTCTAAGGGAAACTGGCTAGTATACACGTTACACATGGGGAAAACCACGAAAACGCCCATGCAGCCAGCCCGTTTGCGGGATTCGAACCTCAGACCGAACTACCAGTGTTCAGCGTCTTTACCGCTCGGCCGCTGGTGGGCCCTAAAACAAACTTGAAAATAAATATTTTTTTTATATTCATAAACAAAAATTTAACATTTAAGAGGTAAATAAAAGGCTTTCCATGTTGATATTATGATATTCTCCCTGGGAAAGATTTCTCTGTCATTGAGGGTAATTACCACTAACAACTTAGGTAGATTCCATATAATTGTTTTAATACCCAAGGACAGTAGTAATTTAAATAGAAACTAGCATTTGCAACAATTAGCGGGTGTTGTTTTAATGATTATACAGTAGTATGAATCAAAGAAAAAAATTGGTTGCCATAAAGGAAAAAAAGTCTGAAAACTTTCATATTTTATGGGTTCTTTTTTAAACTTTTTGTGTGTTACCTTTATTAGTAAATATCATGTTATTCGCATTTAAATTACATAAAATTGAATTCAAAAGCAATGTCACAAAAGATTTTAAAACAACATATAGTTAGAATTTCAATTACACAGTCTCGCATGATGGAGATAAAAGTGTTTTTATCTGTACAAGTGTTGCGATTCAACGAGCGTTCTTCTGTTCTATTTTCCACCAAGCCTTTTCTGGTGTATAGAATAAAAAGCAAACTTTGTTTCCAGTAACTTCTCTTATTTCTGCCTTTCCTGAAGAGTTTAAGTTATGTAACATTAGAAGGAATGAACAAAAGGAAAAATATTTAGAGAGGAAAATCTTAAGCTTTAAAAATTAACTATGTTGTACACAGATTTGAACAAGGGATCTTCTAATAATCGGCCATTACTTTAATGCCATAATATTGCTATACATTGAATGTCATTGCCTTTTCATAATGGCTTTAATTCCTTACAGATTACAGATACTTACAGATACTTGACACCCTACAGATTCTTGACGCAAGAATTTCGTTGCTATTGGTTTCGGGTGAAGTTACTATATAATCTGACATTTTAAGTCAAATAAAAATCAAGCTTTTGCTATTTTTTTTCCTTAACGTTCCGAAGATTCATTAGTTCATACTAACAGAAGCTTAAGACTGAGAATTAAAAAACACTTATGTAGGAAAAGTAAAAAAAAAAAAAAAAAAAAAGTTTCACCTTTTTGTTACTATGTTAATATGAGCCAATTTTATGTGGGTATGGATATGGTGAAGTGTGGTGAATCCTTACTGTTGAAACAATAGGCAATATTGGTATTGTCCAATCGCCCTAATTATCCAGATGAGTTCAATTAGTTACTTTTTAAATATCTCTTAATAGAATTTACAGAAGTTCACTACTGTCTATATAACGGCGAAAATTTAACAATTTCTTTTATTATCGATTCCCGACAACGTAAGAATAATGCTGGTTATTTACTTTCGTGATTTGCGTTCGGCATAATATATATTGCCTTAGAATTCCAGTTTCTTTTAAACCTCCGCGAACGCCTTACTTCAGTGCTTTCTCATTGCCAATAAACGTCAGACAATGGTTTGGAAGAAAGACAATGGTTTGGAAGAATGTAGTAGATTCGATGGGCTTTCCAAAAGTAAATTTGTGAGAGCTTATGATATTGTAGAGACATTAGGTATTTTTTGAAAGCAGGAAAGATGAAAAACAGCAAACGCCTTCACTGAGAATCGAACCGCGGACCTTTGGAATACGCGCCCAGTGTGCAGACCCCCACACCACGAAGGCATGCCAGGGGGGCGCGGGAGAAATACCTTATAATATAAAAACAAAACTTATTCCATTGTAGTTCACTAAAAATTATGTTCCATGAGAAACAGCTTATTTCTCCTCTCTCCTTTTGCAAGCGTGACACAGGTTTTCCGATTTGTAAAACACTGTATTTTAGCCCAAATGCTTCACTAAGCTTATTGTTCTACAACTTTAATTCTAATTTTTCTGTCTATCCTGATGCACCTGCCCATCACGAACTCATAAATTTGCAATAATGACAGCCGCAAAAGTAACTTGTGAGATAACTTGTGTGTTAATTACATTTTTGGGGCGGGGAAGTGGGGAGCTATTTTTTAACTTTTATGGATGAAACAGCATAGGAGAAAGGAGCACCCCGAAGCAGTAATCATTATGGTTAATTGACTAACCATAAGAAATACTCGAGATGTCCCTATCTCATGCTGATGGGACTTTCTAAAACTATATATAGGCCTATATAATTTTTTATATATACTGTGCAATACAATAGTTGCTACAACAATCATGAATATATATTGAGATTTAAAATGTAATCGTTAATCAAGCGGAAACGAAACCATAAGTTAGAGTAAAGAAATATAGAAGAAAAATTAAAACCTTTTGTTTTTCAAAGACGTTAATAACGACTACAGTTTTTCTGTCTAAGTTACTCTAATTTACATTAACTTTCGGACAACCCGGGCTAGGTTAACCGAAACTTATGTAAAAAATTTTATGTTTGCTTATAAAGGAACAATGACAAATCGCAATCACAAAACCCTCAATATAAAACAAAACTGCCTACGAAAATCATGAGTAGAAAAAATGAAGCACTTAATATAAGAACAGTAATAGAAGATGACGTTCAAATATAATGACAATTTTTTAATTCGTTTGCAAGTATATTATTAAATGCCGTATAACTTAATTTTCCCATTATTTAATGATCATCATTCTTCTTACATTTACAATGTGTTCATTTTTAATATTGATATATCTTACCAAGTGAACTTATTCTCCTGATTAAAACTCTTGAAAAATATAGGTTAATTGTTAATACAAAATTTCTGTTATTATACTATAGATTATTTCAATTTCTTATTTTTTTTTTTATAAAATTGTTCTCAATTAACAGCGATTTTTAATTAATTGTAAAAATTGTCTCCTTTATTTCCCCAGCTAATCAATAATTGATGGTTAATACACTGTACACAAATTTATTTAATAATAATAGAAGTTACATTTCAAATTTAAGAAGAGAATTGACTTTGTAGAGTCAATTAGGTTTATTTTGGAGCAGGAAATATAACAAATCAGCCATGCTCTCACCGGAGCTCAATTTCCTGACCTTCCGATTGCTAGTTGTGGTGCTTCCCAATAATATCCCGAAGGCACGCATTAAGGAAGGAGATAATTTCTTTCGACGTTACATACGCCAAATAAATTCACTGTACTTGATATCTGCATATATAAAATTATACGCTAAGTTAAAGAAAATGGTATTTGCCGGATATTTTTCTGTGGCGTATCGTTTGATGGATCTAGGGACAGAGCGCATCGTGGTATTCAGTAATGCCAAATATAATGAAGAAAAGTTGAAAATGATCACAAAAATTTATTTCAAATAATTTTAATTTTTCTGGAACAGAAACTGAAGAATAAGAGATAGAAGATACAAATGAATGCTCTGCAGACAGAAGATACTAATGAAAGAGGTAAATGGTGTGCATATGAAACGTGGAGAAAAAATGTAAGATGAAAGACCCACAGAAAAAGAGAGCCGCCAATTAGATATTCCGAGCCAGAAATGTACAGAGCCATAAATGGTAATCAAGAAATATATCTTATAAAGATACATCGATGTTAACCCTCTGAGCACCATGGCCGGCTTTATC